CTTAAGTGGCTGAGCGATGTTTGGAACCCGTTACGTCCCTGTCGTGGAGAATGACACCCAGAATTATATCAATACATTTTGTCAATCTGAGAATCAAACTCATATGTGGCTTCATCCACTTTGCTTCTCTGGCATTGAATGATATTGAAGCTTTTTCCATATCCACTTTCCATATCCATACCTCTTTTGTACTGGAATCCAAAGCTACATAACAATCCCTACAAAGAGAGAAACATTGCTGCGTCCAGCAAATGTACCACCAAATCCCTGTCTCAAAGATTAACCATAATCCGTAATACTGTCAAGAACGGACTTTCTCCATATTAACAGAAAGTATTTGAAACAAGCGGAATTAATACCATGTGGATTCTCAAAAACCCAAAGTACTTGCTTACATTGTTACAATCTCAGAAACGGATCGAGTTCTGTTCTGTGTACCACTATCAAACATAACAAACCTAAGGAGAAACTTCACTCCATGATCCATGGGGCAATGGTTAATTCATATCTTCAGAGGTTCAGGACAATTTGTCAAAAATGAGAGCATATGTCCATTGAAGCCTACTCAGAAAACTACATGTGAAATGCTGGACTTTCTCATTGACAACATCTTTGTCAAATTTCAGAGTAAAACATTCCATCGCCAAGAAATAGGCACCAATTTGGGGGTTTGTCGCTTCTATCTATAGGTAATCTTGTTAATGCATTTTGCAATTAAACCAGAGAAAGAGTGTATTAAAATGATCGAAGAAAATCATCCAAGCAGTTGCACGAAATTCGCAAGAAACATGAATTATTGGACAATAAATTTCAGCAATAGTACATTTTTCACGATTACCATAATGTCTTGGAACACAAAATGCATAGGCTGCGTTTTCTATAAGTAGTCTTTGTGGTTTCTTATAGAAACAACTAATAAGTAGAGCTTGTGAGATAGATTATCGTAGATCATCATAGAAAACACAAAGCAGATTTACCTCAATGTTTGTGAAATGTAGCCTTCAAAGAATGGAGTTGCTGACGTAAAGGGAAAGCTGTAGTCCGCATTCTTGTTAAACAGTCCCTCAGAATCATATATACACAAAGGAATTAGTTGAGCACCCCCTGACATATCTCACAATTGTATGAGTCCCGATCTTAACCCTTTTGGGCATATCTGGGACATGATTGGTCATAGTGTGCAACAAAGGGATCCTCCTGCACAGAACCTGGTCCAATTGGAAGCTGCTTTACACGAGGAATGGCGTACACTTCCCTTTCAGAGGATCAGGAGGTTGACAGGGGGTATGAGGAGAAGGCTGGCTGCCATACAGTCACACGGAGATTACACTCGGTATTGATCTTGAAAATGATATTTTGAATGTTCACATTCACCAATCAATTCAACATTAAACATTCCAGGGCCATATTTGTACAAACATGGTTTGTATGAAAATCAGTGTGTGTTTTTCTTTTTTAAAAACTGAGCAATTATCATCATAGAAACAAAATGGATTCCAATCATTTGTCGTTTTTTATGCGTCAAAGGATCACGCGAGTCAGAAAAACTCATGTTTTTCCATCGTGGTCACCACGAGAAGTGTTATGTACGTGTTGAAAAACTATCCTTGCAAAAATACAGGGGGTGTTTAATTAAGTTCTTTGTGTATACGTAAATCTAAACAGATGTGACAGCGTCTCTCTTGTGTGTAGTTCAGATGAATAAATCAGTGGAAGGGAATTGTCTGTTTAACCAATTTTATTAATGAACTTGTAGATGATATGTATAAATCGTGTAATAATGGAATATTTGTTACTCCCCAAATCAAAGATTTACTTTTGCTTCTCTTTGCAGATGATATTGTTACGTTTTCATTCATGGTAAACGGACTGCAGAGACAGATAAATATTCTTCAAACATTTTGTGACACATGGGGACTAGAGTTGAATATGGAAAAATCTAACATAGTTGTCTTTAGAAATGGGGTATAGTGGCACATTCTGAAAATGGTTATTCCGTGGCAAAAGTATTAATGTTGTTTCATATTATAAATATTTGGGTCTTCTATTTTCCAGCCGATTAAATTGGTCCATGGCATCTAAAACCCTTGCAGCACAAGCTAAGAAGGCATTATTTCCCTATTTTTAAACTGTTTAAGGCTAATAAGTTTATTTCATTTGACTCAGCTTGCTTACTTTTGACACTAAAATAGCACCAATATTGTTATATGGATCTGAAATTTGGGGAGTAAACTATTTCGAAGCTATAGAAAATGTGCATGCATCATATTTTAAAGATTTCTTACTGTAGGTAAATTTGCTTCCAACAAAGCCGTACTTGGCGATACAGGCCGCTATAGCATGCATATTGAGAGTCAAATGAGAGCTATCAGATACTGGATTAAACTTATAAGAATGCCTGATTATCGCTACCCTATCAAAGCTATCAATTATTATTATCCCTAGACAAACGTGGAAAGTATTCTTGGGCTTCTGGTGTCCGAAATGTGTTATTTTCAAGCGGGGTTTTCTTATGTTTGGTTTAAGCAAGATGTTGGTGATATAAAAATGTTTTTGTTAACTTTTAAGCAACGAATAAAAGATATATATATTCAGAATTGGCGCATCAGTAAATTCATCGAGTTTTCTAAGTCATTATTCACAATGTAAATCGATGTTCGGACCTGAAAAATATATTAGGGTCCTTAATGATAAGTCCCTTTTAAGAAATTTTTGTAAATTTAGAATCTCTCTACATGTCTGTTTAACCAATAATAAACGATATGTTATGACCGGTGTACCGTAAGCAGATGTTAAACCTCTCGGCCCATTCGATATGCATAGAAGAATTAGAAAAGGTTAAACTTCTTGGCCCATTCGATATACATAGAAGCATTAGAAAAGGTTAAACTTCTTGGCCCATTCGATATGCATAGAAGAATTAGAAAAGGTTAAACTTCTTGGCCCATTCGATATGCATAGAAGAATTAGAAAAGGTTAAACTTCTTGGCCCATTCGATATGCATAGAAGAATTAGAAAAGTAAGGGTGTCTACTTCTTCCGAAAAGTGCTAGCCCAACATTTCACATAGATGTTATGTGCGTGGACGTTCAGCATTTCTCATGGTATGGTCTCAGTGTTATTCATCACATATAATATTTCATGCCACTTACATGCACATGCACATGCACATGCACATGCACATGCACATTACATAATACAATGTATGTCTTGTCAGTGGATCTGTTGCAGCGTGGTCATCGATGAAAATATACCTATCCCAAATGAAATAAGATATGAGTGAGTGAGGCAAAGAACGAACAAACATTTCGCATAAATGTTATCTTATGTCCAGCATTTCGGTTTTTTTATCTCATATAATATTTTAGTCTGTGTCCATACACATAATACCGTGTAAATCTTGTCAGCGGATCTGTTGCATCGTAGCCATCAATAACAATATACCTAGCCAAACTGAAGTAACATTATTGGGTGAGTGAATATCGTTTCTGAGATTGCAAACATTCAAGAAAATCGTTTGAAGTTTTGAAGTTGAATCGTTTGAAAGTCATCATAGCACTAATTTCACTTTAGTTAATTACTTTCTTTTCAATTTAAGAAGGTCTTCCTTTCATAATTTTGTGTGTGTGGTGATATGCAGTTTGTGAAAAAATATCTATTTGTAGCGGGACTGTGGGTTTGTGTTTTATATTGAAAAGAAAGTGTAAGAGATGTTTGATTAAATGACACCATAATAGCTACATTTACTGTGGTTAAATTCGAAAATCTATATACCTGGTGTAAATATGGATTGATATGCTATGAGTGCTCGACATCTCTTGAACAATTATTCATATGGTTTGAATCATGTATGTTAAAAAGTGACCAAACTGTAAATCATATCACGTGTCATTGTCCTGAGTGAAACAAATACGAGATGTGAAATGTCACATCATAATTCATACTGTATCTCCGGTGCATCATTGTTATGGTGTGTGAAAGTCCATTTATCAATAGTTGGCGTCTGTCAAATAAAAGAATAAACAGCCGTGACCTTGAGCTATACTGACACCCTGTATGTTCCTGCAGTAGCTTGCAGACTTACCTGTCAACAAAATCAGTCATCGTACACAATGTGGAAGATTTTATGTCAGATATTGTCGCTTAGTATAATTGATAAAATAGACTGAACAATCAACCGGGGGTTATTTATTAAAATCATTCACAAATTTAAGTAGTTAAATGCTCCGTTATGCCAGCAAATGGCGAGAGTGATGGATCGACATGCCCTTCCGTTTTCTTCTTTTGTCAACCCGTTACAATATCCGAAAGACCAATTTGTGGAATGAATATTTCGTCTTCTACACCAAGTGGAATATATACTGAGAGAAACAAATAAAGGATCACATAAAAATTCAAGTGTTCCTTTAATATTTGCCAGTTTTCATCACTAGCTTTGAATAGCGCTGTGGGAGTAAATATGAGAAACAAATAAAGGAACACTGCCATGAAGTGGCGTTCCATTAGTTTCTCTCAGTATATATCGACAGATACACAAAACTACTTATTCTTTCTATTTGACGTTTTATATTAAAATGTTTAATGCACACCTTTATTACGAAGTTTTCAAATAGCACCATGTAACACTACTTCAAAGCTGTTTGGACAATAACTTTTCAATATGTTTTATGGTCATGTGGAGGTGGTAGAAATGAACCTCTGCCACAACTCTGACTTGAAGCATATATTGTTTCATATGAACAAATATGAAATGGAAAGAATACGTAGTTTGGATTACCAGCCGATATATATTCCACTTGGTGTAGAAGGCGAAATATTCATTCCACACATTGGCCTTTCGTATATGGTTACTATTCTTTCAAATACGTTCAGGATAAATCTCAATGACACATGTCATAAAACCTGCTACCCACACTTAATAAAGATTCTAAATGAGTTGTCAGATTGTTATCCAGATAATGTCAGAAAGGTCATTGTATCCGGATTTAGCGAGTGTGACCATCAACACATCCATGTTATATATATCCAACATGTGCTAGTCTAACCATATCCTAGTCGACTGATTTCCAGAACTGCAAAGGTAAGTGCATTTTTCATATTCGTCCTCTGTTGTTGGCGTCCCATGCAATCATAGTAATTCAGGAAACTAGATATTTGCATGTACAAATATTTAACACAGGTTGTGTCAATGGAAATTCAGTTCTTGCTGTCAAAATGAGAATAGAGTGATCCACCGTTTCTGGTATCAATTTAGCCTAAATGCTTTAATCGCTAGTTGCTATGTATTATGTTTAACTGATAATGAATCGTTAGATTCATGCCCATCGTGATTGTCAAGGCGAGTAACAGTCACTGACAGAAATGAAAAAGCTGTCTGTACAAAGTGCTCACAGTTCTTTCATGTGTCAATTCTATGTATCCAGATGAAGATCGCCCTCGTCCTCCTGCTCCTGGCCGCCATGGTGGCCCTGCCCGGCTCTCATTCCTGGGGTATTCGTTTCCCGCGGCTGAGGAGTATTGGACGTGCTGTTGGAGGTGTCGTCAGACGTGTTGCTACTTCAGTTGTCAATGCCGGGAAGAAGGTTGTCTCAACTGTGAAAAAGGTTGGGGAAGCAATCAAATCTGGTAGGTGCTTGTCTGGTGGCAATGAGTTTTCTAGTGAAATTTGGATGAGATTTGAGATAACGCTAAGGGACAGAATAAGGTTTACCTCCTTTTTCGGATGGTGCCATAGTTGACATCATGTCCATCTAGCTCTCTATTATCTCTGTATAATAACGTTAGAGAAGCAATTAAATCTGGTAGGTGCTTATGTGAACATTTTATGAAATGTGAAATAGCTCTTGATTATCTTTATGTAAGATGAAGGATAGTAGCAAATAATAACAAACTATTCGGATATAAATGTCCCAAAATATTTCAGACAGCCTTAAAATGAATGTGTCGTATGTGGGTGCGAAGCAATTAAATCTGGTAGGTGCTTGTCTGGTGACAATGAGGTTTGTTATGAAAATGTAATGAGATCTGAGATAACGCCAAGGGACAGAATTAGGTTTACCTCCTTTTTCGGATGGTGCCATAGTTGACAAACAGCCAAACGATGTCCATCTAGTTCTGTATTATCTCTATGTAATAATAATAAGAATGGTATTAGCAACAGGTATCTAAATATTCGAATATAAAATACAAAAAGATCTAAAATGAATGTGTCGTATGTGGCTGTGTTTCCACCTGATGTTGGGGGTGTAATAGGGTGCAACTATTTGATAATGAAATATCGGGTGAAGTAGTTCTTCCCACACCAAAGGTATTAACGTAGACATTGTGGTGTAGGTAGCAACGTTTACTACTTCCAAAAGCATCTCAGAGACTCGCAAGTTGACTTTGAATAGTTAGGAGAATATGAAATAGAAATGTAATTTACGTGACCAGGTAAGCGAGACGTAAGCGAGTTTGACGTGGACGGCGATGGGGAAGTCAGTGACGACGAGATCATGACGGTGCTGGCAACCAGAGACGTGGAGGACCTTGTCCAGGATGGTTACATCACAGGTAAGGGAGATAACCACTCTAGTGGCGAAGGGTCACGAATGTTCTTATTGCAAGTAACACTCACATTTGGGGAGAGTTTTAAATAAATTACATCTAAGTCTTTAATCTGGAGGTGAACATCCAACATATATAACAAGCCCAATGGTTTGCCTTCCTTGGTATCAATAGCTATATGACCTTCACACTGTGTTTCCAGAAGCAGACAAGGAAGACATTAGCCTCTACCAGCGTCACGTCCGGGAAGCTGTAGAGCTCGAGCTGGGTAACACCTTAATATTGCACGATAGCTACAAAATCAGTATACACACGTTTTCTTTCAACATGAAGGAACGTAGTTCAAGTAAAAGCACATAAGTGTGTTTACACTAATTGACTTGAAACAATTCAGTGGAGGACCTTGTTTGGGTGTGGGGTTTTGGGGGTTTTCTGTGAACGCCGCACTCAGCAATACTCCAGCTGTATGGCGCCGCTCGTAAATGATCGTGTGGCTGGACCAGAAATCAGGTGATCAACATCGTAAGCAGCTATTTACGCAATGGGGATACAATGACATGTGTCAACAAAGTCAGCAAGGCAGACTACACGATCCCATTAGCCGCCTCTTACGACAAGCATGGGTTGCTGAAGACCAATTCTAAACCTGATCTTCACGGGTGACAACATGTATATGTCAATGTGTTATATCATACTTATCACAATGATCATGCACGAAGTCAACTTTTAAGGAATATGGTAGAAAGAGACTCTCAAGTATATATCTGTGATTTTATAAAAGACTATTCGTCTAATTGTCTTCTTTACACAGTATTGTCATCTATTTGCGTTTTCAGAATAGACAAGGGAACCTGAAGATGCCCAAATCATTTGTGCCTGTGTATCCAGATGATTAAACAATAAAGTCACAGGTAGCAAGAGCGTGTTTGTTATATTGGAAATACTTCTGATGTTGAAATGGCGGTTTGGTCGTCAAGTATAAGAGTTCGCTGGTTGTAGCCAGCTTAGTTTCGATTCCATTCATGACACGGGAGTCGGACAGTGGGTGACAAGGGTAGGAGAATCCAATGTGAAATAGATACGTCATTTTATACGGCCCTTTGTCAAAGGAAACGGCATTTTCTACATGTGATCAAGAAGCAATCGTTTGGCTTACATACCCCTAGAACAAAATTTCCGGTACCTCACGGCTTGAGAGATTGATCCACGAAACGTCTATGGTGCCGAGAAACCGAGACATACGATCAGGTCGAATTTGTTTGCCCTCAAGGAAGCATCTCTGATCGGCGTCTAGATGACTTGGTATCCCGTGCCCCCAAAAATCGTAATCGTCACTGTTGAATCAGTGATATTACGGATGATAAGGTAGAAATTGATATTCTAATTCTTCACTGATTTAGCACGCTGAAGTGGAGAAACTGCACAGCAACCTTTGAGATTGACTTACACAAGTCTCTAAGGTTATGAATAATAGCTTAAATGATACTTTTTAAAAACAATATGATTAAAAAAACACATTCTCCCTCTAACAGACTACCGCCGTACTGTCCAGTAATCTGGACTTGCCTCTTTATAGGATATATTAGTATACATCCATAGGCTAAGCCTTCAGTACAGCCTTGGAGTAAGGCTACTTTTGAGCGCGCCATGCTCCTCCAATGACGTGTTAGAAACCCCACAGTGAGTAGTTGCCATGAGCCGGCATAAACGACTTAAGGTAGCCAGGGACCAAAAAAGATGGTCTCTTGCGGCACGTGAGTGGTGATTTTATGTCCACTGCGCAGGCGACGATAACGGTGTACATATTAATAATCAACATAGTCAACCAAATGGTTCGGTTTATCATACCCCGATTGCAAAAATCACTGTATTGTCTGATCAAAACTCGATCAGTTACAGGCTGCTGTCCAGAGACCGGCTTTAGCAACAAGCAACCATACATGGTTTCATGTGCTTTGGTTTTCGTTTGCTTTTATGTGGAAAAGCATGTGCATGTTGTACTGACACCTGAGGGATAATCACTTCAAGGATTCAGAACACCTGTATTCCATTTCCATTAGAGAAATGGGACACCTTTGGATGTTTAACTTGTTGCATTAGTTTGAGCTGTTGATTTACAAACAACGAAGTTCCAATACCACAACAGATTCTGACAAACTCACAAACACTAAGATTTAATCAAGTTGGTAATATATACAATTGTATAAAACCGTAAGAAAAATACATGATAAAAATGAATCATTCTTAATGAATTTCACAAAATGGGAATCTATATGAATATACTATCATACATATTATGAATGTTTACAAAAAGGGAAAAATGTCCTCATGAAGAGATATGGTGTAACATAAGAGTTCATGCTGCCATTTCTCAATGAATGTTTGTGGAATCAACCTATCAAAATCCACCGGAGTGTAGAATCAACAGGAATGTTAATGAACTTTATTTTCTCTTCACTTCATTTCCTTTGTTTGCCATGTAATTCCACTATCCAAATGCATGGCTGCCTATGTTTTAACATTATTCAGTGCTGTAAATTTTATTTCAAGCCCATCATTGAAATGAGGAAGGAAATCTCTTGGATGAAGTCAGCAATGATTGTTACATCGGCCAAACCCTCATCCATGAGATGGGGTCAACTCAGATAACTGTCACACCCTATAGAACTCTGGGTATACCTTCATCTGGTGACATGTCCATAACCACTCTGAGCCAATGATTTTGAACATATTTCAAATGAGGAAGATTATTTTATCAATGGAAAAGATGTGTGTGCTGCTATTTATTTGATATGTCAACACAAATGTCTATTAACTATGATCGACCTGTTCATTACATAAATCACAGCTGTAGTCGAGGAATGAAAGAATGGGTACAAAGACAAAGCATTGTCTTGTCGTATGTCCACTGGACAAGAACTTAACATATGTTATATTTGGGATTACACTTTTTTAGTAAAGTACAGATTCTAGTACTTTTTGGGTTGAGTCCCATCTGGGATTCGCACCCACACCCAAATATAACATGTTACATTCGACCACTTTCTAAAAATGGCATTGTGTATTTCATGGACAAGAACTGTTGTTCAATAGCTGTGCTCTTCTCTGAATGACTCCTTATCCTATTTTGTCTTCACTGATTACAAGTCTGTGACCATTACATTCAAGAATGATGATTCTGACAGGTTAAGATGATGTACCAAACTTGATATGTCTAAATTAAACCTCTTAACAAAAAACAAATGTAATATACAGAGAGCCTACATATTGATCAATAAAAAAAGGCTTACCATAACCCATCACAACAGTACACGTTTAATATTTGAACATCACAGTATGTAACTCAGATTTGGTTCACAAGTAAACACAACAAGCAGGTCTGTTTCCTAATTGCCAGAAATAAAGATTGCAGTTCAATACTTGAATTCTCAGAGGGAAATATTTGATCATATAAAACAAACAAAATACCACAAACTAACCGGAACTTCTATGTTCCACGTAATCTCATCAAGGCCTGTCATTATGTCCCTGTGAGTGAGCGAGTGAGTAATGTTTTAAGCCGCATTAGGCAGTATTCCAGCTATATCACGGCAGATGACACCAGACATGGGCTTCACACATTGTACCCATGTGGGGCATCATAACAGGCTCGTTGCCATGATGACTGACTGAGTTTGGTTTTACGTCGCTTTTAGCAATATTCCAGCAACATCACGGTGGGGGACACCAGCAATGGGCTTCACACATTGTACCCATGTGGGGATTCGAACCCGGGTCTTCGGCATGACGAGCCAACGCTTTAACCACTAGGCTACCCAATACTCCCATATTATTATGAACTTCAATCGCTTGCACTACACATTACACAAATCTGAAATATCATGATATCTCTAACACTTCCAGTTTGATAACATACAAGTCTAGATGAAAGGAAATTACAAGGAAATTCAAAGACTCAGTTAATAGACAAATATTTGAATCCCCCTAGTTTTAATTTTTAAGAAATTACTCTGTAAATATTTCATCACAACATAATTTCAAAACAGACACTTCAGTGGATAATAAAAAGTATCATATTGATTTATAAGCCTCGGTGATATCAGTTATTACACATCCTTGGTAAGAGCATGTACTGGTATTTACATCAATGTTAATGGAGCCAATTTAGCTGTGATTATGAGAGATTCCCCTCAGAGTTTCACTATCACTGACAGAAGCAGGGCCAAGACGGTCAGTATGTTGACATATACACGTCCGGCACTGTTACACAGGTCCTCGTCATCACAGATGCAGAAGTTGAGAGATACTCCATAGGCATCCATAAAGCGCTTGCAGCCGCGGAACTCTTGAGCTTTTCCTCCACCAACTGATGAATCTGTATCACAAGAATGCATTTCAGACAAAATGCACCAGATAAAGTTAATTTCAAAGGCTTCTAATAATAAAGGTTTCACTTTCAATGAAGGCTCAATATATACCAATACTATTGAAATTATACAAGAAGTTATGCTTGAAGTGAGGTGGGTGTTGAGTGCTGCTTTGAACAGTGTTCTAGTTACATGACAGCATGTCAGATTGATGTGGGAGGACAGGCTGGAGTGATGCAGGTTTTATATGTCTTAATGTTACTGAGGTATTGTAACAGTAAACCTAGAACCATGAGCAGGTCAAACCATGATTTCAGCTTTCTGACCAAGGGACGCAACTCAGCCCAACAACACTGCAGCACCTCAGACAACTGCCCCAACCATGTCTCTGTATCCTATTAATGGATTGTACATTACAAATAACCAAGTTTCAGGCATTGTACCACACATCTTATTACGTCTTCGATATTTAAATATGTATTGTCACAAAATGAGTCACTGCTTCAACTAACAGAATCAGCTTATTGTCACCGGAGCAGTCATCATGAATGACAGTGAGAAAATGCAACTTGTATTGCCAAGCAAAGAAACCAATTTGACACTACAGGAGGACTATTCAACAAGTCAGGACTTACCAACAAGTGTGAGTAACAGGTTGGTGAACTGGAGCTGAGTGTAACATACTCTCTGGGCAGAGGCAAAGTCTGGAGAAGAGAATGACATGCATTAATATATTTTATTATCCTACATACAGGTTAATAAATGTATTTATAATCTTTCATAGTGAATTAGAAAGTGAATTAATACAGATTGATAATCGTGCCTGAAGAGATGGAGATCACACATGTTCAGCACATTTGGTGGGATCCCGAGGACAGGTATGCTACTGACAAACCCAGAAACAGAGCAACAGAGTTCAAACCCATGATCACAGGTTTCTGGCATCCAAGGGATGCAACTCTGCAAATGATGACTGGGCTACCCATTGTGCTTCACACAAAGAGAAGGACATGAAGAGAAACCCTTGAAATGTAAAACTAGGAAAACAAGACTGCGCTACTTGATCAACCTGATATTCTGAAGATCTAAAGCTATGATGCACATGAAGGAAAGTTAACTGGGCTGTCACTTCCCACTTTCCTCAGTAAAACTGCCAGAAAGAAATGCAATATCATGCATACTGACCATCCTTCCATGTCTTGGAGCAGACATAGCATCCTCCCTTGGTTGATGCAACCTCCCTTTCTGGGTCAAAGAACTCCAGGTCACAGCCCTGGCACTCGTAGCACTGTAGTCCTCCTTGGTCTTTGTCATAGTCATTGCCAGGACTCCCAGGCAAGTAATCTCCGGGTACCTGGCTCTGGTCACTCCAGTCCACCTGAAGCTCACTCCGACTTCCATCGTTCCAGCCTAACAATCAAACAATGTGTGCTTCTCTTTAACAAATTCTTGACACTATTGTTCAGTGATTGGTAAAATAACTTTAAAAGAAGAATTGAATGGGCTACACTGTAAGTCTTTATTATTTTCCAGTTTCATTTTACCTACATTGACATACTTATCAAGTGTTCCTACTTCTCAGACAATGGAGGGGCAGTGGGGTAGCCTAGTGGTTAAAGCGTTCGCTCATCTTGCCGAAGACCCGGGTTCGATTCCCCACATGGGCACAATGTGTGAAGTCTATTTCTGGTGTCCCCCGCCGTGATATTGCTGGAATATTGCTAAGCAGCTCGTCGGTTTCTCCAAAGAAACTGTCTGAACTAAATGTTACCACCATATACCCCTCTATCTGGTGGTCAGGGTTCCTCCAGGAATACTGTCTGAACCTAAGGTACCTACCACCATATACTCCTCCATCTGGGAGGAGATTGCCAGGGTTCCTCCAGGGATACTGTCTGAACCGAATGGAGAAGCCTGTCTTGTAGTCATTGCGTCTGTCTGACCAGAACTGGAGGGTGACGTAGTTCTGGGTAGTCTGATAAACCACCTTGGTGGGCAAATCATTTCCACAAAGACCCCACTGAGACATCCCTGGCAAGAGGCGAGCATTGTCCACACGATAGCCTAGAAAGATGAATAACAACATTAGCATGACCACTTACACCTACTCAGATAAATCACATATTTATCATGCTAATGTTCCAGTTGTAATAGATATGGAAAAAGAAATGTCCACATATTATGTCTAGAGTATTCACTTCTCACTCTCAAATATAATGAATCTGTTGATGTATTCCATGTATTGACCATGCAAGGAAATTGTGAGCAAAATTGTTACACCATAGTTGAGGCTCATCTGAAGTCATTCTTCTTGTCTTGAAGACTTAACCAATCTTGTCATCTATGTAGCTGGGTTGGCTGGGTAGGAATCCATTGTGTGAGATGGGATAAGTACTACAAATATTGAAGTTATAGTTAAAACAGACTTGCCTGCCCCATGTTAAAGAAAATAGTAAGATCAGCTAAAAAAATAGTAAGGCAGGTGCATTTGATAGTAAGGCATGTTAATGTCAAGAAATAAAGGAAAAACAAAGCTGATTAATATAGCGTTTAATAGTCATATGTGGTGCCGATCTAATTAACGTTTTTTAAAGTCTTTCTCTTTAAAATAAACTTTACCAGCACTGTAAGATGCAAAGATTATTCATTTATAATGTTTATGATGCGACTTCTGTTTTTCTTTTCTTTCTGTACTGTAAATGATTCAGTAAATAGCATGGGCATGCCTATATCTAGTATTCTACAATTTATTTGTAGAAGTCGTAAGGAATTTCAGTATGATCGTAAGGTCATAATTTAGCACCAAATTGGGTAGGGTAGGCAAGTCTGTTAAAATTTTCCAGTTTTTTTATTTTTAGTTATCTTTAAATTATGAACTTTCTACAGTTGGACAGTGGGCTGCTGATTAACCTAGTATGTAGGTATACGACAACTGTGTGATGAATCGTTCACACGTAGGCTGATCCTAAGTTAGGATTATAGGCTTGAACTTGTGATGTGTTGCTACAGACACCCCTTAGTGGTTCTTTTCACAAACTCTAAGGGACTGGGCAATCCCAAGAAATGTGATTTATCACAGTATCATTTGTCAAAGGACGAATGACATTGGACAAAGCTAAGAGACAGGAATTCATGCTTTTCCCCAATTGGTAATATGCCCCAGAATCCTAAGGCCATAATTTTAACATCAGTAGAACACTGAGGGAGGTTGATTGCTTGCATGCCGAGAATAAAAACATCATCAGGCCCAAGGATGGAAGAGACCCATGAACATCTGGGTTAGAAATGATCTTCAGTAACCTATGCTTGTCGTAAGAGGCATCTAACGGGATCGGGTGGTCAGGCTCGATGACTTGGTTGACACATGTCATCTTATCAAAATTGCGTAGATCGATGCTCATGCTGTTTATCACTGGATTGTCTGGTCCAGACTCAATTAATTACAGACTGCCGTCATATGGCTGAAATATTGCTGAGTGCGGCGTAACACTAAACTCACTCACCCAAGGAAGGAAGACAGCTGCAAACTGATGGCAGGTAGAGTCCTTCAGATAGTATCTAGATGAATCAATTCCCTATCCTCAAGCAGGAGCGGGAATAATGATCACATGTATGACTGAACAGCATAATCACCTCAACTAGTAAACAAGATGTATTAATAACTAATTCCCATCAACATCATGAATTTTTTTTAAAATAATCCTGATAAAAAATGTGTAATATTGAAACAGCATAAATATGTCCTTACTGTTGAAGATTTTCAGAAAGTCCTGGCAGCACAATCCCCCACAATGCTCTGTTGCATAGGCATGGCCATCTATGTCAATCTGCCTCAGCTCAAGCTCTATTTGGTAGTTCTTCTTGCCAATGATCGTCAGGATACAGTTGCGATCAGAGGCATAAAACTCCTGGGCTTGCGAGGAGATGATATCTTCATCTCGGTCAGTGACACGGACCTCCCGTGGGTACTGGTAGGAGCCACACTCATACTGGTCCTGAACATTGATGTTACCTGCAGCAGAGGATGTTCAAAAACAGTTTGATAGATACATGTAACAAGGTGCCACAATTAATTCACTGAGTGGAGAAAACCATGATTCCAGAAAACTGGTTTGACCTGATAATGTTTCTGGGATCATTTGCATTTATAAATGAGTTTTATCAAAGTGTATCTAAGGGCTGGGCTTTTCTTGCATATTAGACTAATAAATAAATATTATTTAAAGTATGGGTAAGCAAAATTCACTTGTCTACAGACTATCTTGAACAAAATATTTTGTCACACTCAACAATGTGCTAAAACTTACTGTCCTAACAAACCATAGACTGATCATTGAACATTCAATGGATATATACAAAAGTAAAACTATATCACTGCTGCTTGCAAAGATCTGGCCATGGAAACCAACATGTCATTGTATCATAATCATCAACACTGCACTGCTTGTCATTGTACTTGTCTCAGTACACAATGTGTGTCAACAGGCATCATCGTAGAAGTTCCCTAGTCTCAATGATTTATCTCTTCCTGTTCCATTATCATGTTTATATATAATGACACGAGGTCTGTAGTTTATTGTTGAAATCAGTCCTCTTTATCAATGCCTACATTCTTCACTTCTTTAGCTGAAATGCCTAATTTCATTAACTCTTAAATCTTGTTATTGACACTGACCTTGTTAAACATCACATGATTAAATAGCATACTGCAGCATACTGACTCATATGTTACAAACAAATCAAACCCAACATAAACACTGCTCTTACAAGTTAAATAGATGACAATATGAAAGCAGTTTTGTTGGTTGAAAGCCTAATTACTGACTGAAGTTTCATAAAATCATCATTGATAACAAAATGAGTAAACAATATCAATTTTAACTGGTTTTACTTCCATGCTTATTCCACTCTTACCACATGACTAAAGCCAAAGGTTGAATTAAAAATGTGATTTTTACTTAGAGATGGGTAATGTATTTCTTTACTAAAATTTGAATATTATTTAGGTATTGGTAATTATATATATGTTATAGGCAGATGGGTTTGTGACAATTAGTTACGTGTATTTGGGGAAGGCCATGAAATAATGTTACTAGTCATTGCTCAGCATAGTCCAGCATATAACTAGACGACTTTGCACTATACCAAGGTGTGTAGGCCTTGGCTGCAATACGAGTTTATTCATATGAACTAACTCACTCTCATACTGACCCATAAATAATAAATGACCAGTGCCTTGCTCCAAGGTGTCCAGAATGAAAAGTCAATTCACGTGAGGTTATTTTATCCGTATATCCGTATAACGTTAACCGGTCTTTTATAGTGACAACGTGTTCTTATTACCAAACCCAGTCAAAATTTCCGTTAGAAGACCTGATCATGTTTCTTATGTATTGGCTCACTGAATCATCATTTTATGTGGTACCGATATTAGTTTACTAGACGTATCTAGTACATAGGACATGTATGTGTCACTAAATATCTATATGAGTTAAAACGTAGCATGATATTACCTAGGACGACAACGAAATGACAAAACAAAACCAGGAAACAACAGAGCCTGACAGGTGCCTCCATCTTGAAAACACCTGGTGACGTCACAAGTACCTGAGCTATCTACCTGTAAAAATACTTTCGAATTTGCTGAACTTCCTACTGATATCTATGACGCGGAATTATACTCATTAAATTCAAAAAAATTAATTCTCCATGGCATACATATGAATTTCCAGCACTAGCTTTGTTTCCAAAATAATCTCACCTGTAAATTCGCTTCGATGACTAAATTTCCGTATGTATAATCCGAACACAAGGGAGATAATCGAAAAATGTATCTCCTCAACACAATTGAGAAGGCGAAAACTGTCGGCAGTCAGCGTCAATTAGCGCTGCCGTAAGCCGCGCGTGGTTAATTGCACTCTTGCCTTTTCCACAAATTTAAAAGAGTTTTCATCAAAACCAGTACTCCATAAAATATGTTTTCTCATATATTTATACTAGTATATTTCTCATATGTGTGTGATAGCAGTCGAAACGACTCCAGTCAAACACAGCATAAAAGAGTGTTTAAACGAGTGCAATATACGTAACAGGTGAAATTAGAAATGAGTTCCTCCACTCAACATATTGTTTACTGATGTACAACCAGATTATAAAGAACGCTATTATATTTCCGAACTTTGAATAACTGTCTGAACTTCCTACGGTGTCGTGCCGCAAAGTCTGAAATATTTATTTCGGATATCCAGAGAGAAGATGTATTTAATTAGGCAAACGCAAGCGCATCCGATGTGTGTCCCCGAACTGCTCAAACTTTCGTAAACTTAAGTGAGTGAGTGAGTCACTGAGTTTAGTTTTACGCCGCACTCAGCAATATTCCACCTATATGGCGGCGGTCTGTAAATAGTCGAGTCTGGACCAGATAATCAAGTGATCAACAGCATGAGCATCGATCTACGCAACTGAGATACAATGACATGTGTCAACCAAGTCAGCGAGCCTGACCACCCGATCCCGTTAGTCGCCTCTTAAGACAAGCATGGGTTACTGAAGATCATTTCTAACCCGGATCTTACGTGTTCGTAAACGTGAAGTACACTGACAATTGTCTGTTATTGTGATGAAAACCTACAACGGGTTTATATAGTGTTAATATGGGAATGATAATTTAATGTCGAATTAATGAAAATCTATATTAAGAACAGACCCGAAAATGTGTAAATAACTTTATCTATATTTTTATTTATACCCAAATTAAAGAGCGTTTCACGGTAATGCTGTTTACCTTGTAATTTGTTCATGCAGCCATAACATTGCAAATACCGCGAAGGCTACGCTCATTCAGCTGAGAAACGTCGCGCACGGCCATGAACGGTTTTCTCTAGTCTGTCGCATAGTGGCGTGTCACGCTTAGAAACAGCGTTAGAAAGACATCTAGGTAATATATAGTACTAGGGTAGGGTCTATATACCTAGATGTCTTATATATAGTACTAGGGTAGGGTCTATATACCTAGATGTCTTTCTACCGCTGTTTCTAAGCGTGACACGCCCCTGTGGTCTGTCGTACAGACCCTGAAGCAAATATATCCAAGAAAGCCCACGCAAGTCTAGAAAATGTGGCAAGTCTAGATTTCCTCAGCTTCTGAAAATGAAGAAAGTCTCAGGGCTCCTTTTCATTATATTTTATTTTTTTTACTATGAACTTTTTTCAGTAAAATATGTTCATTTCAGAGACTAGTTGTTAGTCTAGGTTTTCTCCCCAAACCCCTACATCCCATTACAACTACATCTCAGTTCCCTAGTCGGTCATACAGACCCTGAAGCAAATATATCCAAGAAATCCCACACAAGTCTAGAAAATGAAGAAAGTCTCAGGGCTCCTTTTTATTATATTTTAATTCTTTTCACTATGAGCTTTTTTTTCTGTAAAATATGTTCATTTCAAGGACTAGTTGTTAGTCTATCAGTTCCCCTACAATTATAGTTAAAACAACACACGGCAGTTACCCGTCTTGCATAATGAACTCACCCAAACGAGTGGTTAATGTCTAGAGAAGGAATGAAAGTGCTAGAGCTTAAGGGGAGTTTAAGAAAAGTTCAAGAATTCTTTTACGAATTAAAGGAAGTTGCTTAGTTGATGAATGTCTGTTTCCGAAGTTGTATTCGCGTTTTTCTAGGCCACAGACCCACAGTACATAACATTTCAATAGTGTGGTTACACATGAAGTGATTCATACAAAATTCATAGCAAAATATATATATTTAGACAAATTCACAGAAGTTGGTGATTTGAAGACGTAAGTCGAACAAATGTTTTTTATATGAGGGGTTAATATAGTATTTATAATCAATACATTGCTTTTTTAAGTCGGAGAAGGCACAGCAGACAAGGATAAAATGGTACTCGTTTTCTACAAGCTGGATGTTATATATCGAAGGCAGTATCTGGATAAGCGGTTCTCGATGTCTATGCCCATTCGTCTCCCCATTTCGATCATTAGCTGGTGGCAGCCACATCTGAATCTGGTTAAGGCTTACTTCAATGAAGGAGAGCTGATTTGTGTGAGATTGGGATTCTGTAGGCAGAACTGTTTTCTGAGTTGAATAAGCTGCCAACTTTGAGTTAGATGACATCGAAGCCTGCCATCGTTGACATTTGTAGTCAGACACATTTTTTTAAATAACAAGATGACCAACATAATCCATATAATGCATATAATCAACTTTGATGAATGGGGTCAATCAGACTGTTCGATTTAGACTTTTAGTTTCGAAAGAAATTAAATGTATCTTAAAATGTATGAGGTAGTAATTTCCTGCAGGTTGTCAGTATATCTTGTTTCAGTACTATTATAGACTGAGCTACCACAAACCTCTGCTTAGAGCACTAACTGATCGAAAGGGAGTGCAAACATTTTACTCTGAACTAAGTTGTTGGTTTGCTATTTGGTTTAAACATAATTATTCATTTAATCATGACGGGATTGGCAAACAAGCATAAAACATGCGTGTATCAATGCCGCTCCCTAACAATGATACAGTAGTATTAATAATAATGATACATAGTGACGTACACATGAACTGGGTGCAAACATAATGAAAATCAACAGGACAATACTGACGATATGATATATGGCAATTTACAAAAGAATCGTTCAAGGCAAATAAACTCACTTAAAAATTTAGTAGCTGAGTCAAGATATCGACAAGGCACGACATGTACAATAAAACCGGATTAGGTAAATTGCGAGAATCTCTGGGAAGATATGATATAGTTACGTACAGATTTTAATAGTTCCAGATTTATCTGTTCTGGTGAGCCAGAATGACCATGTAAGATTGATGACAAATTAAATCCTCTACTAAAGAAGTATGCGTTTGATCTTATGTCGTTAATTGTGGGACAGGTGAGGAAGAAATGAAGCGCATCTTCGGTGTGATGGCCGCAGTTACATTCAGGACTATCAGATATATATCTGGTAAACTTATCTCCGTCTAGATCGCTACACCCAAGCCGAAGTCGGGAGTGGATATCGATAATCTGGCAAAACCTTGAACCATGGGAAAGATTAAAGTTGATTTCACTAGTGTTGTGTTCTTTTAGTTTATTTTTGAATTCTCCAAGAGTATTGGCGTTTACGATGTCTGGAGGAGAGTGAGTGAGTGAGTATGGTTTTACGCCGCTTTTAGCAATATTCCAGCAATATCACGGCGGGGGACACCAGAAATGGGCTTCACACATTGTGCCCACGGGGGATTCGAACCCGGGTCATCGGCGTGACGAGCGGACGCTTTAACCACCAGGCTACCCCACTGCCCCCTGGAGGGAGAGAGTTCCGGGTGTTTACTGTGTCAGGGATAAAAGATTTTGAGTACAAACTATAGCATTGCATGTAATATTTTGTAGGTCAGAATCGTTTTTCAAATTATATCCTCATACAGATGATGCATTTTCTGAAAACTAAACTAGGCAAATAATCTGGAACTAATTTGTTAACCATTTTGTAAAATATGTATAATTTTTGTCGGAGTCTTCTATTTTCAAGTGAAGAAATATTTGTCTCAGAATATAGTTTATTATGACTTGTGCCGCGAACAGCTCCACAGATAGTTCTGATTGCGTCTAGGTTTAATTTTTCTAGAAGAAGCGTTTGCTCTTTAGTGCAATTATCCCATACATGACACGCGTAGTCGAACATTGGTAAAATAAATGATTTGTACATTGTCTGCAGCGTTGTCCTGTTGAAGCGATATTCAAAACTTCTTAGGCAGTTTATCATTGGACTGACTTTGTTATGACATTTTCGATTTGGCTATGCCACATACAATCTTGTTGAAGAACTATACCCAAATGTTTGTGAGACGACACGTCGTTTATATAGTGTTATCCATAGATAAGACTGGTTTGATATTCTGAGTATGTTTACGGGTAAATTGAATAGCGACCGTTTTATTTGGATTAAAATCAACTTGCCATTCTTTAGCCCATTCTGATATTACAGATAAATCATTATTCAGGCATTGTGCTGCTACATTCGGATCGTTTATTACTACATAGAGCGAAGTGTCATCAGCAAATAGACGTATATTACTGTCAATGTTATCGACGATATCATTGATATAACCTAAGAATAATAGCGGTCCTAGGACGGAACCTTGTGGGACGCCAGCTGTAACTGGTTTTAATGCGGAACTGAAGCCGTTGATTACGACACGCTGTCTTTTGTCTTCGAGGTAACTTTTAAACCATAAAAGTAGTTTACCACAAATACCGTAAGCTTTCAATTTCTGAATGATTCCCCTGTGCCATACTTTATCGAATGCTTTGCTTATGTCGCAAAAAACTGCTCCTTCCTTATTTCCTTCCCTTTATCTAATTCTTTAGCAATAAAATCAAAAGGTAAGTCAATTGTGGTAAGATGGTCAATCTCCAGGGCTAAACCCGGACTGAACAATTGTTAATAAGTTATTGTCTCTAAGATAATTAAATGCATATTTGTGAACACATTTTTCAAATACTTTGGCTAAACAGCTAGTTAGTGCTACAGCTCTGTAGTTGCTACATTCGTTTATATTACCTTGATTTAAACAGTATTTTATTT